ATCAGAACAGAAGCTTTACAATGAGAATTATCATACATTTCTATGAAATTGTTTTCGATAAGAATTCATAAAATCGATTATTCTCCTCTTTCAATATAAAACTGGCTTCTCAATTTTACTAAATTTGCATTTTTCAATTTTGTGGCCCGTCAAGTTGAATGCGCACGCAACCTTCAGAAAACGGTCTATAGTGAGTATAAAACACAAAGAAATGTATGGAGCAATGTTTAGTGTCGAGTTTATGACGTCACAGACTCCTTTAAAAATTCCCAAACATAGTATACTTTGCATCCGAATATCAGGAAAACACTTTAACCAGTGATTATTAGACCTTTAAGGGTTATTCCTGTAAAGTTTCAGCTCAATTAAAATGATACCTGCACTGATTTTAAGTGGTATTTTCAGTTTATTATATAGGAGAAGAATACCAGCAACTACAAATAATGTTACTCAGAAAATAATGGTCCCTGTTCATTAATAATTTTCAAGATTTTTTTTCTTTTTAATTATAATTAGGCAATATCTAGCCTATTTCTTACCGCTTTGACCTTTCCTCATTACTTTTGTTTCTCCCTCTGCACTGTATTCTGTTTTAAGAGAAAAGTTTATTTTCAACTCTTCTTCATCTTCCTCAAAAGTGACCTCTTTGTCCTTGTTTTGAAACGCAAATTCAATCTTGGCGTTCGACTCCTTACTGTAGGCAGTAAAGCCATCGCTTGCTTCGTATTGCCATTCCACGTCTTTAGCAAGAAGCTCAGCTTGTTCAAGTCGTTTTACTCTGTCAGTTACGTCGTGTAATATATCATGGATCGCAGACAAAGCTCCCAAAATATCTTCATTGTTTCCTTCCACGATMATTCGACTTACAGCAACTTCCACTAGTATTTTGCAGTCAAATTGACTCTCAAGTGTGCGTATCTTTCTTCGATCATTCTGGTCCATGTGGGCTATTGCGTCGTTAGTAATAACTTGCCGTTTGCAATTTTCGTTGATCATAACTTTAATAGCATTCACAGCAGCATCAAGAGATTTTTGATGACCGCTGTACACATGAAGAACAATTTCAGAGCTTTCGTAATGCTCTATCTCTGGGTCTATTTCTACGCCTCTTTCTTCTTCACTGGTAATTCCAATGAAATTGGTGAGCTTTCTAAAGATACTAGGGCTTAAATCTTTATCTGGTACTTCTCCAACAAATTCCTTCATTTGTGAATAGAAATGCTTAACCATTGATTTCTGGAAAATTACAACCCGAACAAGTTGGACTGATTTTGGATTCGTTTTAGAAAAATCACGGAATGCCSYCAGCATTGCCTTTGCACAATTATCTGCATTGACACCGAGATTCCCCGTTCCAATTGCAGAGAAAGAAATGCTTCTTAACCCTTTCTGGTCAGCGAACTGGAGGCAGTCAAGAACAGTGTTAATTAGTTCTGCTTCGCTTAGAGAACCTGATGGAACATAGTGAATTAGGTTCTTCACCTTCAGCCTCCCCGCCGATGTCATGGAAACATCACCCAGCTGCAGGGTTGGATGTTGTYGACATTCTCTCTCAAGGGTAGGACCACCGGCCTTAAGAATTGCAGCTCCAGCACCTCCGCCATACGTAAGATCAAGTTCAGGATTTGAAAGAATAACTATTGCATCAGTTGCTTCTTGCGTAATGTCACCACTTTGTACCTGCACCGATAGCTCATCCATTTCGACTTCAAACCAATCTTCCTTTCTTTTTCTTAGTGTCATGTTTGTTTTTCGGGAAGTTCTTCTCTTCGGTGTTCCGAAGCTTTTGGAACTTGACGATCGACTTGCTGTTTCATCTCTGAAGGCCTGCACGGTGAGGTGATCTTTGTCATACAGAACAAACTTTACTTCTTTTAGGGAATTGGGTCGACTTTTACTGTTGTAAAAATAATAATAATCTCATTAAATGTTATCAAACGAATTTTCTACGAATATAACATATATTATTATAACATATTATATTATTATGACATATTA